ATCCTGATTTACTTCTAAGGCTCATATAATCTGACACAAGCTCATTTGTTACAGTTGTAGGACTACAGACTAGAAGAAGTCAATTACATGTGTAATTTTTTCATGCCTTGACTGTGAAGGCATAATTAACCTACATACCCAGGTAAAACAGGCTGGTAATTTCACCCAATTAGCTTGCCGAGAATTCTTCATCAGCAATCATCCCTTAGCGGCGTCAATCGCATACTAGTTGTTTTTGTCGGCTCGTTTGGTGTGGCATGGGCTGCGCCCGCGCCGGTGCCGCCGGATCCGGGTCACGCGCGTCACGTAACGGGCTCGGCGCTAACGGAGGCTCGGCCTAGGCCGCGCAGCGGGATGATGCACGCGGAAGTGGGATCGCGGACGGCGATTAGAGCCTCCCTGAGCGTTGCGTGTTCGATTGCGCCTCTCGTACGATTTCCGTATTGCTGTGACGGGTTTGCATTTCAGACACTTGTAGAGAGATGAACAGCCAATGTAGAGACCTAAATAGAACTGCTTTTTGTTGTGAATATGTTGCTCTACATGCAATTTTCCTGTTTTAATTGGTTGCAAAGGTACAATTTATCGTATTTCAATTCTTATCATTACCAATTTATGTACTGATAGTCATTTGTATCATTCAAAGGAAATATCCCAATTAGTAGAATTTAATAGTCGTAATCCGTTCGAGTATCAATTAAAAGTACAAAAGAACGTTAGTTTTCCTTCCCACAAGAGTTTCCAGTACAAACAAACACTATTTTCCTTCCTCGCTACGACGCCGATGGTTGTTCTTGAGCGTGCGATGCGCCCGGCGCCCGCGCTGTCGTAGAAAGCAAGTTCACTGTCACGGCCGTCGGTACGACAACCTTGCGCGCCTTCGTAACGTCCACTCCACTGCCAAATTATGCTATAATATTAACACAACGACCGCTTTATGTCCACGATGACTCTATCATCGAGGTAATTATACACAACATTTGCAAATGACCTAATTTGATAAATCTGACTGCAATAAAATCGTTGGCGTTATAATTTAAATACGCGCAATAACATAAGCGTATGTAGGTCAATGGTAGCAAAAGCATTACATGAATAGTATTCAATCAACTATTCATTAATAATTGGTAATAATTAATAATATGGAACATTCAATTCATTTCTTAGTGATGTAACTATGTAAAACTTGGTGTGTAAGTGTATATCCCAGTACTTTACATTTTACCCAAGTTTTTCATCCGTATCTTACTTTATACGTAAACACGAAGATAAATCCTAAGAAGCGTCAGTGTTTCCGAGTATTTGTCTGATAACTAAGCGTATCAATTTCCTTATACTTCTTGATATGTTTTTTGTAGAATAATAAAGGAAAATCCAGAACTTAGATCAGTGATCAAGCATTGTTGTTGCTTAACTCTTTAATACGACGATTCCAGACTCTAATGGAAATTAATTCAGACACGTACAGATCTGTCCATTCAACGGCAAATGAAAAGTTAATAACACATTGGCAGAATGATAATAGACATAGGTATATGATATGACATAAAGCCATGCAACCATAGGAACACTGAATTCGATCAGGATAGTAGAGATCATAAAGGGCACAAAGAAGAAGCCATAGGAAGAGAACAGTGAATGATTCAAAGGCAGTAGCGGCTTATTACCGATTATCTGGCACTATGATGAGGGTTAATATGATGCTGATTTTGGTTTTCTTGGTAGAGCAAAGACGTTAATGAAGTCTAAACTTTTTATTAGTTTATTTATACAGAAAAACAGCCGCGATTAAAAAATATAATCAAAAAATTTTACAGTTTCTAAAAACAACAATAAATATCATAAAGTTGCACACCCGGTGCAAACTTAATCCCAGATCCAGTACTAGGTAGTAGTGTGAAAACTAAACAGATTATTGGGCGATCAAACGTATTACAGCATTAATTTTGAATGCTACACAGGCACAGCTCAAAGAAATAAGAAAGTCCACTTTAGTTTCATGTGGGTAGAGTCTACAATAAATATTGAGCACTTAATGTAGGTACCTTTCCCAAAAGTACACATTGGTATTACATTTGGAAAGATAGGGAGTTGTGTTTTTGTACTCTCGACATTTACATAATTTTCTTTTGTGGTCATTAAGTATCTCTCATGTCTACGCTCCTTTGAGTCTAGCAACTACAAAATGTTTGAAGATATCGAAAAAGGNGAACAAGATAAAGTTTACAATTCCAGAGTTGCCAAAAGTTGCAAAGTTAGCCCTGTTTAACTTTTGTGCTGCTTAATGTGTAACTACTATCTTATTGTAGTACTTTATCTGACATGACTGTTCCCGTTGAGTCTCGATGGAAGTGAAGCTGGGCCATTGCACCGTTGCTTGGCGGAATGTCCGTGGATCCGGTTCACGTCCCAGGTACCTACACGGGCACACGCATGCGTCCCGTTACGAGGAAAAGCTTGTCAACATGCTTCGCTTTTTACTATTTAGTTGCACCGACCAATCTCTTATTCCTAGAAGTAATAATCGACCCAAAAAATACTTTTCATAAGCTTCCTTATTATGATCGTTGCGGGTATAACAATTTTCCCACTTGAGTAGGTATGATGAGTCTCTGCTTTACTCTATAGAATTCATATTGATGTCTCATAAAACTCTAATTTAAATGTCGCATGAACGACAAATCGAATAATTCCAAGAATTAAAATCACGCGCCGATATCGTCTATACGTTTTATATTCTCAGACATATTGACGCTCTTTATTTCTGTTACTGCATACATGTGGTGTTTAGAATTTAAATTGCGCGTAAGATCATAAAGATTATGCGGACCGATAACGCTGGACTTGATTTTACATAAAGATCACTCATCTTCGTCAGAAATGAGAGATTATTTATTTTGTAACGCTAATGACGGCTGTGTATTGAAGATCTGCCTTTTTCTAATGTCCTACATTATTTACGGAGTCGTAGATAAAAATACTCTCCGGATCATCATCACATATTTTTATGCGAAGGTATTTATGCTATTCTCGTGCGTATGGTCAGCATCAAATAGACAGACAGACTCAGAATTCGGCGTCGACCTTGTGTGAGTGCTTACGTTACGTGTGCCAGACAGCGAATTCTAAAACACCTAAGTTTGTGGACACCCACCACGTCTTGCGTAAGTCTGAATCACAATCCAGAAATGCAGTGAGCAAGCCAGTGTTAGTCGTTTCATACGTGATTCAGCGCGACCGGAAATAGCGCCATGTTGGCTCGCCGCAACGCCGCCATGTTTATTCCTTCGTTCCGGAAGTTGCGCGCGCGCCGACCGTCTATAGACACCATTTCCACGAGCGGGCGGAATATGAGTCGGAAATATTCAGCAACTATTTTCGGTACCGACGTTTTTCCGTTTCACGGAGACGTTGAACAGTGTTAATCATGTACTGGGGGCCGTTGTATTTATAGAGGGTGATATTGCTTGGCGACGTATTTAGGAGCGCGTAATTCGTCTGGATGGTTGATTGTGTCGGGCCCGGTAGCACATACATAATTATTATTTACCTACCTACATTGATGCACGAGGATCAGAGTTTCATGTGTATGATTTCTGTTGAAATCAAATACATTCTATAATAAATTGTTCTCCTCTAGGAATTTATTTACCCCGTCACATAAATAAATTCTACAGGTAATAAACAAGTGAAATATCGCATTTTCCTCTCGAAGTTCATTAAAGCTTCACTTTGAGTTAAAAATAGAAGTGCGATATTTTTACGTAACGAAAATAGCGAAGATTGTTTTTTTCGGGTTCAAGTAGATTAGAAAATGTCGTTGTAGTTACAAATTTTAATAGTAAGTGCGAGCTATTTAAGTTATATCTTAATTCATAAGTACTAGCATTAGCTCGCGACTCCGCACACGTGGATTTTCCGAGTGAAGACTCGGAAAATCATCATCCCTTTCACCCAACCTAACAGTCCAAAAAGTATCTAAAATTTGAGGAGTTTATTGACCTTCTGCCATCCTTTAATTTAAAGAGGACCACAATAACTTAAAGAGTTAACGTTCACCTCACCTTATACAACTAGAAACGTGCCAGTAACGTCCTCCGTAAGTACCTACATACAAATAAAAGTATAGTACCTATACATAATATGGAAGTTGCTATTTAATTTGGACGTTAAATTACAATTCGTAAAGTAGGTAAGCAACGTGAATTAGGTGTAAAGTCAAAAGTGGAAACTGCCTTTTCGGTTACAAGTTCTACGTAGGTATGTCTGATTGATTACTCACAGTAACCAATAATATTATAACATGCCTTTTATATTTTTATTTACTTTCAAGTTGTAACTAGCAGATGGGCACTAATCTATTTAGCGCCTTCATGTCACGTTTCTACGTATGTGTTAAATCCAAAACAGGTTTGCCATCAATTCACTGTTGTTACGGTAAGCACACCGTGGAAATTAGAATGTAATTTATAACTGAGCATGGAAATTAACTTTATTCCCAGCTGTTTTTCCAGATTATTTGGATACCTTAGAATTTGCCTTAATCACTTCCTTCTATCAAGGTTCCTCAATTAGAGATGTCAGATGGTAATTTATTAAGGATGGGATCTTTGGGATCGTCATTTACATCTTTTTCCTAGTTTTTTTCCGTTACCCCTTGAAGGCCATCTTCGACCTCCGGGAAACCACTTACCCAGCTTCCTGAAATTTTGTCCTACCCGGTAATTTTGACTGAGTGGATACCATTTTGAAGTTTTCCATGGCTCGATGTCACATTTTTGTTCTTTATTTGGATTATAATGTCTAGTCATTGTAATCCACGTTTGCATGAGGTGAAAATATGCGCCAGGTTTGTTCGCCGGGATAAAAATGTTTTTTCCTGTATGTGCAGAAGTTTTAAATGTTTNCAGGGTTCAATGCAGAAGCAAACCCAGGTGCTTTAAATGCACCGGGGACCACTCAGGCTCTAATTGCGACGAGACAGATGTTTCCTGCATTAATTGTGCAGGGAAACATCAAGCAAATGAACAAACCTGTCCCGAATTTATACGACAAAAAAACATAAAGCATTATATGTCAGTTAACACAGTATCATATCTAGAAGCCTCTAAACAGTTTCCATTCACTAAGTCATACTCAGATGTCACAGCTAGTTCTCCCAAATCACCTTCACCTTCAAAACCTGTAACAGAACAAAATTCATACAAAAAGACAGTTTTTATAAATAGGAAAAGAATTACTCAGCTCCCACCAGGCTATGACAAGAAAGCACACGAGTCTTTAATTGATCATATTCCATCTCCACAAAATGGTTGTGGTTTCTTGTCTGAGCCCTCATCTGCAGGGGACTCTCACTCTGTCTCCTCTCAGGATCTAAATAATCTGCTGTCTTCATTGATTAATATTATAGTTAACTCTGCATTACCGTACTCCGTTGCCATTTCTTTAATTAACAACTTGTCAGTCTCTATTTATAACATTATCAAAAATGGATCAAATCCTCCAGTGGAATTGTAGAAGCATTTCGTCTAAAACAATTGAACTCATTACATTAATTAACCAACACCAGCCATTTGCCATAGCTGTCTCTGAAACCTGGCTGAAGCCAGGCTATAACTTTAGAGTTCGTGGCTATTCAGTCTTGAGAGATGACAGAGATGATGGGTGGGGTGGTGCCGCTCTACTGATTAAAAAACATTACTTATTTACATCACTAGCACTTCCTTCCTACAATAATAATCACTTGAATGCAGTAGCTGCAAAAATTGGGGATATTTCAGTACTGTCTGTATACATTTCTTGCAAAGATTCATCTGTTATTCCGATTTTAAGAAATTTAATCCTATCTCTTCCTGCGCCTGTGTTAATTTTAGGTGATTTTAATGCACACCATTCTCTTTGGGGTGCACCAGTCAATGATTCATTTGGTAGTGATCTTGTGGAGCTTATAGACGAGTTAAATCTGTGCGTTTTAAACGATGGTTCAGCAACAAGGAGACCCTGTCCCGGCCAATCTTTAAGTTTTGTCGATATCTCACTTTGTTCACCTANTTATCTTCTGGCAAAATGAGTAGGTGTGTCGTCAACAGAATATAATAATCAACGCAGTCGCACGCTAAGGGTGCGCGAGCGCACGGAGGCTCCGCTGGAATGTGGTCGGGCGGGCGCGAGGGGAGGGTCGGGAGGGACAAAGCCTGGGACTGGTTCTGCTTCCTGTACGTGTCGGATGTCCTGCGGCTTCCTGCCCCCTCCCGGCCCGGCCAGGCCACGCAATGGGATAAGTCGTCAGGGCTGTGCGAAGGATAGAGATTATCCTGATTTTTTTTGTTTAAGTGATTGGACAACTGGATTCCACATATTCTTGCCAAGACAACATTGTGAAATATCTTGCATTCTGAAAAAAATCTCAGATCTCATGTAGAGCCAAGCTTTTAAGCTCTGCACGCTCTAACTCTATAACCTCTAACTAAAAAGCTCTTGTGTCCTTGCGCTTCACGTGACTCGAGATTGACAGCTTTCATGATACAGTTCTTCGTTTCCGTGTTTCAAGTTTTATATCTATTTTTCTTGGAAAATAGTCTCTATTTCAAAGTCAAACTACCTACTCACAAAAATTAAACAACAGCTCTTGATAGTAGTACCTATTACCTTGTGCTACTGCTAATTTGTACCTTTTCATAATGAAAATTTAACTATTTAATCTTATTAAGCCCAATACAAAATATAACAAGCACTTTACTGAATATTTTGATGAAGAGTCTAATAGGTATTATTATGAAATTTATTTTAAGGCCGGATTCTACGATATTGATTTAAGCTTTTGAATCGCATAAGCGTCGAATGAACACTTTCAGTAATTAATTATTGATATTTTATCTACTTCCACTAAAATTCTACTTACATTATTGGCATTATTGCTTTGCCAAATTGCTTTATTGCTAAGTGTTTATTAGTGCCTGTGGACGCATGACTGGCGAAAATAATAGATAATGTAACGCCAGTAATAAGATTAGGTATTTATTATCTCTTCACTAAGTACATTCCTGGTGTAATATATTTTAGTTTAAACAACATTATTAATCATCGTAATTATGATTATAATTCTATAAACTGATAAGTTTTTGAGTCATTGTCGTCATAGATTGATGAATCGATAAGTTTTGATAAAATAAGTAATTGCTTTCCGTTTAAGGCTGAGTACCTACCAGAAACGGCTTTAATTAGGTACTTTTTAATTTTAGCAAATTTTCTGTGTAGGAAAACTGAAACTTTTTAAACCCTATGGTTCTCAAAAGTACCTTAAAACCCAGGAAAACAAAATATCTTTAAAATAGTTTTCCATTACGCTGAAATTTGGCGCAAAATATTTAAGGCGTAAGTAGAAGTTCCTAAAAAGTTTTTAGATTTATTTATGACATTTTTAAACATCTACTTATTTGAAAAAGGATTTTGTCAAAGCCCTGCGCAAGCGCTGGAGTGCGGGACACGCACGATTGAGGACATTCTCTCGGTTTGTTTTTGTTGCGCTGCGGTCGTAACATAATACGAGCTCGCTTCAGGATCGCAGTAGTACCTACCTAATCACGAACAACGACTTTGGAAAATCATCCAACGTATCTTAATTTTAATCTATCTATCCATGTGTACTAAATATCACAATAATTAAATTACAATCAATAAAAACTCACGATCACGAAAACTGCGGTAAATCGATATTTTTGATTTTTATCGGATAATGTTTGCGACCATGCAGAATTATTGGCAGTAGGCCTTACATGTAAGACGTTATTTTTTTGTGGCTACAACTTACAACCCAGGCTAGATCCCCAATTATTATTTTATTATCTTTTACCCAATTAGAATATTATAGGAAAGAAACTACCTTAAATTTTCCACTACAACAAGCAAAGGCTAACAAACATGCAAATTCCGTGATATTATAAAATTATCCTAATATTTCAGGCATGTTTTGTTATCAATATCAGATTATAAAAGGAATTTGTAAATAAGTGCTCAATTTCCTTTGGATTAACATAAACATGCAAGGGGCAATTATTGTGTTTTGTAATCGAAGCCTGTTTGTTTCATTTGCATACATACTACACATGCTTGTTGAATCTGCAAAGAGAAAAACATGTCATTACGTCATTGATGGTGCAAAGGAGTTTTCGTCAGTAGATGGCACGAGGACCGATGTAGGTATACTTAGTTTAGTTAGGATATTGCTTAATATAAGTACCTCTACCTAACTTAGGTAATGAATGAGTGGTTGTTGGACTATGGACTGTTATTAGTGTTATTACTTATCTATATATTAGGATATGTTTAGTATTATTGTTGGTTTTTCACATTACATTATAGGTACTTAAAATACCATCCAACTGTACCGCCCACCGTCTTTACTGTATCGCCGTGTTACCTTGATGTATCAAAGTTGACTTAAGGCACTATATGAATACGGGTACCTAAGTAAGTGAAGATTTTATAACCGTAGTTATGCGGTAGTGATAATTTGACTGGCAACAGTTGGTTTGAAATTTTGTCTAAGATAAAACATGTGTCTATTGTCTTCCTTTTTCGAAGCAGTTTCGCTTGAGAATAACATAATATTTTTACATACACGCGTACTTAAACATGGCAGGTCGTTGTTCGTGGCGCGCAGCCGCCATCGATCTACGTAATCTACGCTAAAACAATGCGCTTCCGCGTCTTCATTCGTTTCCACGCGCAAGGCTATTGCCAAGGTCTCGGCTTTCTACCGTGCGTTGGCTGACAGTGTTCTGTAAAAACAAACACAAAAAACTAATTAGCGATGTGTTTAGTCAGGTAGGTTCATGTCGCAAACAGCCACGAAACTCGAAAATGCTGTTTAGTCTACTACTAAAATGTTTGGATGCTAATCTACACGGCTGAATAACAGCGCATCTTTAATTTTTAAATTTGCGACTGCCTACATTAGTGTAAAAATAGCGCATTTTCTCAACTCTACCTTTGATTTGTACTTAGGTACTGCTTTTACCCGCTCATACATAGAAGAAGAAAACATTAAATATCGGGTGGAAGGTGTTGCTCTTCGTGTAGGTACTTACCGGAATTCGAAACTTTCTTGGCTGAAGGAAACTTGTAAGAAGGGGTCAAGTTTAATTTACTTTTACTTAATAATTACATTTTTTGTAAGAGACTAATGCCCGTTTTCACCATCAATCCCTAATTTTTAAGTGACCCCTATGGTAACAAATAACAGGTAAATATTTTGTTTTCATAGGGGTCACTTAAAAATTAGGGATTGATGGTGAAAACGGGCATAAGGCTCAATTTGCTTTTAATATTGTCAGAGCCAGACTGATAATTTTGAGTAAGACAGAGTTTGATGTCATGGCAAGCCTCGGCAAAAAACTGAACCATGTGATCAAGCAGCATAATATCAAGACGCAATAATTGCTTGGTCACTAAGCAATAAGTGTGCAAAACGCCATAAAAATATAATAGATGCTTGCAACATCCGTGTTTGCGTCACGCGTCGAGAAAAACTCCGAGACCGAGGAAAATGAATGGATCTAACCGGATGTCGCGGTTCACACGAGCAATTAGGTACACGAGCGAGGAGCCTGCGCGCGCGCCGATGGTCCTGCACTTCCTCGTCGTGCAGGATACAAACGGGCTGCCGCTAATTGTCTTCTGAACCAGTTTGATCAGGATGCTACAGATGAGCAGGTTCAAAGTGTTAAGGAAATAATTACAACAATTACGTGGAAGATCCCCTAAAACGAAGTTCTACTTTTATGCATCATAATCAGGGGTCATTTAGGATACTGATCATTTCTTAGCAGCAATTAAAAGTTTCAACGTCTTAAATATGTAGGTAGGTATTCAACACTTTATGAATACTATGGATAGTTTGAAAAATATTTAAATAATTTAAATATCAATGATACTTATGACGTCTATGTACTCATATTTGCGCAAACATAGGTTGTAAGGTTGTAGGTTATAAGCAAAAATCAGTTGAATCTTTTTTGTAAAACAAACGAAGCATCCGTAAAGAAGTAACTTAGGAAAGTTGGTCTCCAGACTTAAACTTTAGGTATCTACTCGTTTTAAGTAGGTAGGGTATAGTTTTGGATAGATACAGAAGAATCTGCTAAAGTTGGAACGGTAGACCAGGTAAACACAATAGGTAGGTAGTTACTCCAGTCCAGTAGGACTAGGTACTACTTTACTTTATTATCATCTGTAATCGACCCTGGGGATGTTGCGCCTTATTATTAAATGATCAAACGAACTTACCAAGTGAAGTTCGATCTGGATTATCCTGTTTTCGCCGANACTGATAATCATGATTAGCACACTAACATAGCGGAGGCATGCAAGAAATAATCTCGCTGTTTACGCCAAGTTCATTGTCGCCGAGTTTCGCAAGATTACGACGCGAAATATCTGCGGCTCAGAAAGTGGAATGCTCACGCGCACGCGACCGCTCGGTGAGAGTGACTGGTGCGGGCGTAAAATCGTATTGTTTTCAGTTAATCCGCACGTTAATGACGGCTGATAATTGCGATAAAGAATGAAACAACGGTTTCGAATGTTCATCTTCAAATACTAACACAGAATTTATCAATAACGGCTTCAGGTATTTAAAAGTTTTTCCTCTCTGAGGACACATTCGACTTATTGCTAGTTACTTAAGTTTAATAAAACTCTCGGATGCTTTTAGGTAAAGGCTTGATTTTGCGATTTGTTATACATATTTCAAAAATTTCATCGGTTCACAGGAAAACTTTAGGGAAAGCTTAGGTGTCAAAAATCGTATTTTAAAAATTAAATCGATTTAGGACTTCTTCTATACTTATTAGGCTCTATAATTCTAGAAATAATGTGATTCAAACTAGTTCAAAGGATTTTCAAAAAATGATAATACATCTTATTTAATCCTGCTGTATGTTCAGGTATAAGAAGGACTTCCTAAAGAAAAAGGCTGCATTTTTCAACATATCTTTAGGTATGTAACCTTACCTAGGTTTAAGTGAATGTGAAACATGAACTG